GGAAGAGGGGGGGGACAAGCTAGGTGCGCTGGCGTCATCTGACATCCCGCCCCTCCCTCCCATCCCTTGCCATGGCGCAGCTCCCCAATCTACTTGCGCAGTCGGATGTCAAGCAGGGCGATGATCCCGAAAGGGTGCGCGATGCATTGTAGAGCACGGCATGGCATGGCGTAGAAGAGCACCGTGAAGCGCAGTATCAACCTAGCATTGCATTACGCGTCGTGGCATGGCACGGGAAATGACGCCATCGCTGCAGCGGGAGCACGAGTCGAAACGGGCGGATGCGCGGAAATGAGGCCAGCGCTGCAGCGGGAGCACGATTTGAAACGAGCGGAAGCACGCCGGAATCGGCCCGGGAAGCACGAATATGAGGCCAGCGATGCAGCGAGAGCACGATTCGGAACGAGCGGGGCCCGAAAATGAGGCCAGCGCCTCAGCGAGAGCAGCATTTTGGGAAACAACGCAAGCGAAAACCTAACTCCGGGGTCGGCTTCCCGGGCGCCAGAAGGAGACATTCAGCATTTTCAAAAGAAAAATTCGCATTTGAATATTGTTTTTCGGCGCCGCCTCGGAAATCGATTTTCCGGCGCCGGCCGGGACCGGTTCGTGCCCGGCCCGGGCGCCGGCCCAGGCGCCGGCTCGGGCGTCTGGCCCAGGCGCCGGCTCGGGCGCCGGCCTGGGCGTCGGAATCAGCCCAGGAGGCCTCCCGGGCGCCGGAAGAAGAAATTCTGCACTTTCCAAAAATATGCGTATTAGAATGGCCTTTTTTCGGCGCCGCCTTGGAACTCGATTTTCCGGCGCCGGCCGGAACCGGCTCCGGGCCTGGCCCAGGCGCCGGCCCGGGCGCCGGCTCGCTTTGTTGTTCGTTGTGTTGTAAGCTGGCTATAACTTCTGCAACTGGTTATAACTAGTTACGTATGTTGTCCAATACGGCACAGGTTATATCTAGGTCACCTACTACGCACGTATACAGCACATGTATGATCGACAACCGACTGTTGCACAATAGTAGACAATGTCGCCTTCGAACGTGCATAATGCGAAATTCGGAAGTTGTTGGCGCCGACGCAAGCCATTGCATATCTTCCTGACATTCGATTTTGTTTTATATGGCGCGCGTAGCGCGCACAGCTGACCGCGCGAGTGCACGCGCCCAACTCAGCCGCGCACCTGGCCCCAACAGCGGGCGGCCACGTTGTAGGCCGCGGAGGCCGCCACCTTGTCTGTCTTCTTGAAGAGCGCGTAGCCGCGCGCAGTGAAAGCCCCGCGCGAGATCCGCCTTGCCACATCTCGTTTCAAGAAGCTTCTTGGAGAAGTCCTTCGGGAGGCGCCGCAAGAGCTCCGCCGCGGTCTCGGAGACCTCGGCTTTCTTGCCGCCCGCGGCGCTCGGCGCCGCCGAGGGCCTCTTACAGGCAGGCGCCGCGGAGGGCCTTTTGCGGGGTAGAACCGCCGCGGCGGGCTTGCCACCCAGCAAGGGGGCCTCCTCGTCGTCGGAGGCCTCCTCCTCGTCGGAGTCGTCTCTTTTCTTCTTCCTCTTGCCCTTCGCATTATCCAACGCCTTCTTGCCAGCCGCCACGATAGCCGCAATGCCTGCTGGAGCGGGCGCGGCTGCGGCTGCAGGCCCCCGACCGCCACCTCCCCGCAGGCCTGCTGGTCCTCGATCGCGAGGCGCGCCGCGACTGCAGGGCCCTTCGAGGCGTAGCGCCTCTTGCCAGATGGAGACCCGCCGTCGCCCTTCAACTTGCGCAGCAGCAGCTCCGCGAGGTCGTCGCTTCGCCCCTTCCGATTGGCAACCTTGGCCGACGAGCTCCCCGCGGCCCGCTGCCTCCCCCCGATTGCCAAGTTGGTGGGCCTCGCAGGCATCAAATCTTTCCGTTTCATCGGCTTGATCTTCATTGGCTCAATCTTCGTCTTCACGGGGCCATCGCCTTCGGCGCTCGCCCTCGGGCACTGCCCCATGAAGTCCTGGGGGTCCAAGGGGTAGTTCAGCAGCGCCATCTGGCCCGGGGTGATCAGCCTCTTGGCGGACATCTTCAGTTTGAATGTGTGGAGCTGGTCGCGCGCCTCATCGGGCTGGAGCGAGCGGCCGTGGCAATGGGACAAGATAGCCAACGCGTCTTTGACCGTAGGGTCTGACGGGTGACGCGCCCCGATCTGCATGGGGAAGTCGGCCATCGTCTCTTTCTTCATTTCCCAGGAGTTGTCTTTATCCATAATGGCCCCCCAAAGCCCCTCTGCGAAGTAATGGCACAGGCGCAAGTGAGTCTGAGTCTGCGAGGCCCCCGAACTGCTGGCGCGCCCGCCCTTCATGCGCAAAGAGATGGCTGGCGCCATTGCACCCCGCTGCTCGCCCTCGAAGATATGCGTGGGTTCAGCCAACGCCGCCAACGCAGCAGCGCTGTCGTCGATGTCCTGGGGCAGGCTCTTCACGGCCTCCAAGCAATGCGATGCGCGAGACTGGCGGGATTCCTGTTGGGGGTCGGCGGAAGACGGGGGGTGCGTGGGCGGCGTTATACCGACAACCGTAAGATCGCGTATGTCGTCGTCGTCGTCGTCGTCATGTCATCGTCGCATTATCCCTCCCCCGCCCCCTCTCTCTGCCTCTGCCTCTCTCTCTCTCTCTCTCTCTCTCTCTCTCTCCTTTCTCTCTCTCTCATCTCTCTCTCTTTCTCTCTTCTCTCTTTCTCTCTCTCTCTTCTCTCTCTCTCTCTCTCTCTCTCTCTCTCATCTCTCTCTCTCTCTCTCTCTCTCTCTCTATATCTCTTTCTTTTTTTTTTTTTCTCTCTCTCTCTCTCTCTCTCTCTCTCTCTCTCTCTCTCTCTCTCTCTCTATATATATATAAATATATCTCCCTCTATCTCTACGCGCGCGTGGCTCTGTATTTTCCCGCTGCGCTCTTCCACATCACCCCGTTGACAATCCGATGCCCCCCAGGCCATGTCCACGCGTCGCCGAAGATATGTTGCTCCCGCCGGATGGAGTTCAGGGAGGCGTTGTCAAGATTCAGCATGGCTGCGTAGACTCGCCAATGTCCGATCTTCGAGCACACGCGGCTATAGCTGCGACCAGCGGCGACGATCGTTCGACAATCGACGAGAGCAGCTGATGGACAACGACGATGCACATTCGACATTCGATGGCATCAAGGGCCCCATGCTTGCACAACCAAAGGGCGACACAGTGCGCGCGTCACTAAAGGGCGCCGCTCCTGTGCAACTAAAGGGCGGATTTGTTGTACAACGGAAAGGCCCCGCTTGCCGAGCGAGCGGATTGGGTCTGCCATTAATGGGGGCGGCAATGCCACCGAAGATCGCACCTCGACGCCAACGTCAACGACTACCTCCCTCCTCCTCTCTCACCCTTCCCTCCTCATTCCCCCCCCCCCCCCCTCCCCCCCTCCCCGTCCTCCCCCTCCTCCTTATCATCTTCCTCCTCCTCCTCCTCGCCTTCCCCCTCGCATCGAGTATTGTGTGTTGTGGTTCGTCATATGGTGTCGCATATGCATGTATATGCAATCGTTTCTCGTATGTCGATGCTGCGCGGTGCAATGCACGGTGTGTTTCATTGATGCCGGCGGGTCGCGCGACAATCAATCGCGTCGGCAGCCGACGGCGTTCACCCACCAACCGACAATTGAACGTCGCATGTCATACAGTGGGCAGCGCGAGGGCAACGCATGAGCTTGACAATCGTCGGTCATCGATGCGACGCTGTTGTTGGGCATGCATGCAAGTTCAAACGCTGAAGGCGCAGGCGGGGCTGCGAGGTCGACAACCGACGGTGACGACAAAGACGCAGTGATTGGACGATGAGGATGGCGAGGAGGGCGTCGATGATTTTTTTCCGCTGGTGAGTTTCAAGGTATAGAAAGCACTTCTTCCTATAGAGAGACACCTCGCCTCGAACAACCACTCGCAACGTGCGCGCATCGGGGCGGGGTCGCTTGCGTTGGCATTGATGCCGCGGGCAATCCAAGACGGAATGTGGCCCACAAACGTTGCTGCGACCACGGTCCCATGCGCCGCGCAGGCCAATCCGCCGAAGTCACCGAAACCCGCCTTCGGTTGCCACATCAGCGCGTAGACGGCGCGGAAGCCTGATGGCATAGCTGGCGCGAGCCCCGCGGCCAGATCGGCTCGACCATGCTCATCATCGAGCGCCCATTTGGCACCGCCCTGGACGTTCATCACCTCGATGGTCCCGTCGTAGCAGAAGTCGGCGCACGTGAGCACGTAGTGGCCAAACTGCCACACGCGATCGTTCATCTCGCGGCTGCCGCACTCACCGTCGCCGCGGATGGCGCCAATGAGCTGCCGCGCGGCCCCCGGCAGCGCGTGGGCGCGCAACTTGGTGGGCCGCCCCGACGACGACATGACTTCGACGTCGCCTGGGCGCGCGAAATCCTCCTCTCTGCGCCATTGCATGGGCGACGTCGGGGGTTCAGGGAGCATGGCGCCGCGGGTCTCCTGGACTGCGCGGCGGAACGCATCGGCGCTTGGAATGCTTGACATGAGGCGCTCGTGATGAGACCGACGAGCCGAGCCAAACAAACAAAGCGTTGCTGATCCAGGCGGCTACGAAAGCGATACGGATAGCGACAAGTGCGGACGTGGCATAAGACATGGGGCGCGTGCGTGAGTGTGATTGGCGACGATAAGGCAATACGATGACCGACGCGATGATTGCATTTGGCAATGTGCGACGCATTGAACGACGATCGATAACAGCACCGACATCCGCGACCGCGAAGTCAAACAGCGCACGCATGAGACGAAGGCCCGAGAATTAGAACATGATATCACCATCAGTGGACAGCTGCTTTGCATGGGCTCTGGCTGGAGGAATAACTCGGCGGATCGTGCATTGCACAATGCATCGCGCAACTGCATCGACGATGTCATCGCAATCCACGATGATCCTTTCAGCCATTTGTTCCCAACAATTATGACCCAGCCCGCTCTTGCGACGCCTCGTCACGCGAGCGACAACGGCATCGCCACCTGGAGATTGCCAGAAATCATCTGCAACCGCCACCTCGTCCGAGGCCATATACAACATGTCCCCGCGGGAGACCTGTCCGTGCCGTAGCGCGGCCAAGTTCGACGCGTGAAATGTCGTGCCCAGCGCATCTTGCTCAGACCAGGGGCCGCGGTACTTTGTTTGGAACGAGCTTGCATCGCCGGTGAAGGCAGCCATCTGCCTGAAAATGATATATTTGATCATTGTGTTGTCGATGTGTCGGAATACGTATGACGCACATCGCTTGGTAATCCTGTGCTTTCTCTCCGTCACGAAGCACGACAGCAATTTGCCCAAGTACCTCATGTTCTCAGGCAGGCGCAGGGCCTGGTGGAATTTCGGCTTCGCTGCAGCTGGATACAAGCGAGTGAACATCTCGCCGTGCACCCTCAGCAAGCCATCTAATACGTCAACGTACTCCATCGCATCTGACGGTCCAATCTGCGAACTGATACCGACTATCATTGCCAACGCAACAAAACACCGCTTTTGCTCCTGTAGAGGGCTTCCGCGAGGAACGACGTCCTGAAGAAAGCACACGAGGATTGGGATCATGGTCAGCAAAATACCAGATAATGATGATAGACATGTGCACTTCTTCCCAAACCTGTTCTTGCTAAGCCACTTGCGATCGATCTTACCATGTCGATTGGGCATGCGCCACTGCATCATGTTGTCCTGCATCACCTCGAGCTTGAAGTCGTGAGCGCGAACCGCCTGCCATAGATAACCGATCTCAACGTTGGCAATGCCACTGTTCAAGAATACGTGCATGGGATCTCTCAGCGCATGGTCGATTGGCTTATAGGTCTGCCTCAGGTACCGATCTTCAATGATGCCCTCATCCACGACTTTGATGCCGAGGCGCTGCTGCAGCATGCCTCGCTGATCGACGGGACTGGTTGCAATGAAGTCGTCTGCCTCGTAGACCTCGTCGTTCGTGTACTCGTCAAGCAACGCGCGGCCCCAACAACGGATCGACACCTCGCCAGAGACGAACGCTGCATCGGGTACGCGGTTGAACACGTTCTTGCATCTGATACGCGGCTTAGCGCCACTTGCGCCTTTCGTGGCAGCAATTTGGTTATGAGCTTTTTCGTCGCATAGAAATCCATTAAACGTTGCTGTGACAATGGGTTCATGTCCGTCGTGCGTGGGGAGGCTGACGCCGCGCTTGAACGAGTGCCTTCGGGAGGGAAGAACACGCGCATGATCCTGCGCCTGAGGCCTGACACTTAGCCGGGCAATTTCTCCACCAACGTTGATCGAATCGTGCCGAAAGTCGGCCATGCCATTGTTCGCTGGAGCAACCACTGCTGCCAATCCGCAAACGCCCAATAGATCGCCTGTACCGTTCCCGATTTCTCAGGGCGAAGTGGGTTGCCAGGGCGCAGTTCGTCGATATAAATGATGATGCGCAGTGGGCGGCCAGCGCAGCAGTCCGCCATGATCTTGGCAAAATGTGGCGACCTGCCGCACGCGTAATTCAGATGCGCCACTGGGTGTATATAATCCCATAGTCGAACTGCTGAATGGTATCCATAGTCGAACTGCTGAATGGCATCCATAGTCGAACTGCTGAATGGCGGCCCCGCACGGCGTCGTTGCCTGACCGTGCTGGGCGACTGACTCACGCAACTGCCGTCTGAGGGCTGATGGGCTATCATGCAGGACGCCCTCCTGCAGCACACCTGCCTCTTGTAGCGCGCTCAGCGCCTTCACCGCCCCAGTTTTCGTGCCGCACTGCGCTAGCTTCTCGTATAACTCACCGCGTTGTCGCTTCGCGATGCCGCCGCTCACCGAGCTGCTGGCCCCGCGTTTGCGAGATGCCATCGGTGTACATGCGAGCGCGCATGGTCGACAGTGAGCCCAAAATGAAACTACGTGAGCGAGAGTGTGGCGTGAACATGTCACGACGTTGCGCGCGATAATCGACTGTCGCATCGATAGCGGGCACGCCGGCGACGACGACGACAGTCGACAGATAGTCGAAGCCGACGACGATGGGGCCCAGGAGACCCCCAAGCTGGCAACAGTTTGTAGCCGTCGACGTCGTCGCCGTCGCCGACGCCGACGCCGACGTCGTCGACGCCGTCGCCGTCATGCGTCTCGTCATGGTTGCCGTCGTCGTCGTATGCGTCGACACCTCGTCACTGTCATGAGCCCTTCCCCAATCAATCATTCTCCCGCCCCTTACCCATCATGCCCAAACCAGATAGCTGCACGCTGCATCGGAAGAGGAGGAGGGGGCCAGGTTGCCTCCGCGTATCGCACGCGGTCACTAACTGAGCGCGCTGCAGCAGGCACTCGAAAAGACGTGAGAAGTGGTCCGTAAGCCCAATGCGCGCGTCACACATCACATAACTGGTTTGCTACTGGACTCGCCCCCCCCCCCCTTCCTCCCTCCCAGGGCCCCCTGGGCGTGATGGGCCTCGAGGCCCCAGGACCCGTGGGACCCCCCAGGACGCGGGCTGGGCCTCT